GGGCACCGCTGTCCCGCCGGGCATCGCCACCCCACCCGGCATCGGAATTTAAGGGACCATCCCCGCCCCGCTGGGCACCGGTGCCCCACCGGCCATGGTCACCCCACCCGGCATCGCCATCCCACTGGGCACCACCACCCCACCGGGTACCCACGCCCCGCTGGGCATCGCTGCCCGGAGCCCCCGGGGGTGCTGCTGGCGGCCAGCGGATGGCTCTCAGCAACCGGGCTGTCACACTTGCTCTAATCTAACCTGAAGGGCCAAATCCAGCACGCATCGAGTGCGGGCACTGGGTTTTCTCCACTCTTAGGGAGGGGCAGGGACACCCGACAGCCCGGGAAGACCCTTCCCAGCACCCCCCCACAGCCAGGTTCTCTCCCCAGCCTGGGAAGCTCCAGCCAGCCCAGCCGGCTGCCCGGCTCAGGGTACCCACTGCTGCTCCAGCACCTCATAACACTGGGAGAAAACAGTCCATGTGGGATCATCCCAGCATCACCCAGAGTGGGGGGCACAGTCCAGTCTTCCCCTCCAGTCTCTATCAAATTTCCCCTCTTGAGCTGAAACACCTCTTTTTTCACGGAGATAGAAATTTTGGGTCTACCCCTACAAAAGTGCCCCAAAGAGGAAAGTTTTTCTCCCAAGAGCATCCCACATGCTGCAGGGAGAGCCAGGAGCTCCTGGCCAGTCACCAGCCTGCAGATTCCCTGCCCCTTCCCAAGTGCTGTCACGCCCAAACTGCCTACTGCTCCTCTGCCCTGCCTGGCTTTTAGTTCAGAGGAAAATCTTTGGGGTCCAGGCTGAAGTGAGGCTGGAGCTTGATGCCCCCACCTCCCCGTGCAGAGCAGCGAGCCCTGCACAGCCGCCGCACGTTGGCAGGACGGCTCCGCACGTTGCTGTGAGGCTTTATTTGTGTTACACATATCTTTCATAAATCCTTGTGAAGCCTGGGGCGGCCTGGGCTGGAAATGACTCTGCCGGCCGGCAGCGAGTGTCGCCATCGGGCTGGGAGGAAGAAAACCTGCTCTCGCCCTGAGCAGCAGCACCCTCTCGCCCGGCCATGGCGGGATGTTAAATATTCAGTGGCAGCTCTGCCCTCGTGCTCCAGCAATCCCACGGCTCCTGTTACTGCTGCTCTCCTTTCGCCAGAGACATCCATTAACTAATTTCTAATAACAGCAGCATGCGTAAGTGCTGAACCAGCGCTGGCTGGCACGCCGGAGGACCGGAGACAGCCAGGTTTGGCAGGGTGGCGAGGGGGGAGTTGGAGGCACCCAGAGCCATGGGCATGGCTGGGCTCAAGCCATCCGCTTAACCCTTCCCCTGCCCCAGAGAAGGCGGGCACCAGCCACGTGGCACCAGTGTGGGGATGTCTCCAGGGACAGGCACAACGCACCTCACCGGGGTTGTAAAAGGAAGCCTGAGAGGTACCGCCCTGTAAGCAAACACGGTGGTGGTGGCTGGGGACAGGCACAGGCAGCATGGCCCTGCAGTATGGGGTGCAGCACCCGACGGTGAGGTGGGAACGTTGGGGGGCCGGAGTGCAGGTAGTGACTCAGAGTCCGTCTGCCTCCCTTGCCCTTCTCCTGTTAGCGCAAGTGAAGCCATGCCCCCCTTTTATCATCCCCTCACTTGTCCAGCATGTGACATCCATCTCCATCGTTTCCCCCTTTTCAGCTGGGCAGAGGAGATGCCCATGCCATCCCCACTGTGCTCAGCTGAAGCTTTGCAGAAAATCAAAGCAGTGAGAAGAAGGGGAAAAGGGAGCACAGATGTCCCCAGACCTCCCAGAGCCCATCCCAGAGGGTCCCTGCACCCTGCAGCTGGCATGGGACAACTCCAGACCCATGCAGCCAGGCCAGCCATGCATGGGGGGAGCTGGCACCAGGACCAGTCCCCTTGCCATTGCTAGGGGCTACCCGGGAGAGGGATGGGCCAAGACCCTCCTCTCAGCCCCCCGATCCCCCCAGCCAACGGTGCTTTCCCACCGCAGCCAGGGACAGTTTTGCCACCAGCTCTGGTGGTGTCAGGCCTGTGCCTGGGCTCCAGCTGATTGCAAAACTGCAGCCGTGCGGTTTTCTCCAGCCAGCTGGAAAGTTTGACGCTGGATTCCCGGATGTGAGGAGCCTTTGGGGGAGCGCAGCACAGCACGTCCCGCCAGCAGCATCCTGCCTCGCCAGTGGTGGGGAGCTGAGTGCCGTGCTGGGTTCTGCCATGCCACAGTCCTCACCCGCAGCCCAGTGCTGTGACGTTCACCTTCCCACCAAGCCCCCAGTCAAAAGCTGTCCTATTTTTTATCCTTCAGCCATGCTCGGAGATTGAGCAGATTAATGCTAGCCCATAAAACCCCTCAGCCTTGAGAGTGTCCTGGCATAGACAAGGCTGGCCAGGACTCAGCCATGAAGGAACGGGTGTCGTGTGTGGCTGGGGCATTCTCCACTTGCCACACTTTGTTTCCTCGACCGGCCTCTGTGCCTGCTGCCTGCCACTGCTCACCACTGCCTGCCATTCCTGGGGCCAAGATGGGAGATGGCAGGAAGATGCAGTGGAGATAACTGTTAGATTTGCAACCCAAGCAGTGCTCCCTCCACCCCCACCACCGCAGCCTCTCAAGCAAGAAGCCTCCCGGCACTTGTCCTTGCTGGGAACACGCCATGGGTGCCTCAGGTCACTGGCATTGGCCGTCTCACAGGCACGGCCCCAGCACCTCCCCAGCAGCTCTGAGAACCCCGCTGCTCCCCGCTATCCCATTGCCACCATCAGCACCACGCTGGCAGAGTGGGGCACACCGGGAACAAGTGAAAGGGGGCTGGGAAAGACAGTGGCAGGAGAGGGATACCTGCAGCCAGCACAGAAGGCTGGGAGGACCCTAGAGTGACACCTGCTTGAGGCTGCGCCCAGGGCAGGACCCTTCCTCCCCCCAGCCACCCCCTCTGAAGAAGCCCCCCATGCCAGCAGCACGGTGCCTGGCCCAGGAGCTGCCACAGGTAGGGGGCAGCTTGTGGCCCCCTCCCTCGCCCTTGACCGCCAGCTCCCTTGCGGCACACGCTGTCATGTGGCAGGGCACAACAACAACAAGGACTAATTGGTTAATGCGATTTCAAAACATGATTTGCAATTATAACTCACCAGAGAGCGTTCAATGATCCCGCACATTGGGAGAGTGGGTTTTTCTCCTTCGTTTGTTCCTGGAACCTCGAAACCAATTAACTTTACAGAAGCCAGAAGCAAAGCGCTGCTCAGCAGACCTGAAGGGTGGGTTATCTCTGTGCAAAATCACTTCCCTGTCAAGTGCCACACCGGGAACCAAGGACCCAAGGACAAGCCCCGGGGTAACCCTGTTGCTTCTCTCCACAGCACCATGGAGTTTGGAGGGGAGTCCAGGGACCCACAACTCCTGCAGACCCCACTGGGACGCCAGTCACATGCAGGACCAGCTTCCCACCCAAGTGGCTTCCAGCCATCAAGCACAGCTGCTTGGTAGCTTCTAAGGGCAGGCGGATGCCCTGAGACCTAGGAGATGAGGACAAACTGTTCCTCTTAGCACAGGGAGACTGTCCCCTCTGTCATCTCTGGAGGTGCCAGCAGCAGCCCACTCACCTCTGCCACCCAGGCAGGGCAGTCCTGTCCCCACTGTCCCCACTGGCAGCACCTGCAGCCCCATCAGGGCCAGGAGCTTTGCTGCCATGGCCTTGCCATCCTGCATCAAGGGCTTAAATGCCTTTAAGGCAATTAAGCAAGGACTTACGCATAAATACAAGCACAGATACAGGCTGGGCAATGAGTGGATTAAGAACAATCCTGCAGAGAAGGACTTGGGGGGTACTGGTGGATGAAAAACTGACAATGAGCCAGCAGCATGCACTCACAACCCAGAAAGCCAACCGTGTCCTGGGCTGCATCAAGACAAGTGTGATGAGCAGATCAACAGAGGGGATTCTCCCCCTCTACTCTGCTCTCATGAGACCTCCCTGCAGTGCAGTGTCCAGATCTGGGGCACCCAATATAAGAAAGATATGGACCTGCTTGAGCAGGTCCAGAGACCACGAAGATGATCAGGGGCTGGAGCACTCCCCTGTGAGGACAGGCTGAGAGAGTTGGGGTGGTTCAGCCTGGAGAAGAAAAGGCTCCAGGGAGACCTTATAGTGGCCTTCCAGTACTTAAAGGGGCTACAGGAAAGGGGGGAGGGACTCTTGATCAGGGGTGTAGGGATAGGATGAGGGGTAATGGTTTTAAACCAAAAGAGGGTAGATTTAGATTAGATACAAGGAAGAAATTCTTTACTGTGAGAGGCACTGACACAGGTTGCCCAGAGCAGCTGTGGCTGCCCCCTCCCTGGAAGGGTTCAGGGACAGGTTGGACGGGGCTTTGGGCAACCTGGGCTGGTGGAAGGTGTCCCTGCCCAGGGCAGGGGGGTGGGACTGGATGGGCTTTAAGGTCCCTTCCAACCCAAACTGTTCTGTAATTCTGTGATTCTATGACTTAGCAAGGACTTTAATGCCTTTAAATGCTACTTAAACGCCTTTAAAGCCAAATGAGCCCAAGTTGCTGTGAAGCTCCCAAAATGTCTGGCACCCAGTGTCCCACTCTGGGCCAGCTCCTCTGAGTCTTGGCCTGTTTCCCTAGTGTCCCCAGTTGCTGAGCTCTGTTGCTCCCCACATCCCACTGGAAAGCTGAGTATGGGGCTGGCAGCATTTTCCCTCGAGCGAGCAAAGAGGGGCTGGGTACCAGCTGCTGGCGGAATGCTCTGACAGCTATCCCTCGGGATGGTGCCAGGCCCCCACTCTGCTGGGAGACCCCTGCTTGTAGGGTCACCCAGGGGACCTGCCAGCCCAAGAGGGATAATCCCATGTGCACAGGGCCCGAGGGTCTCCAGGCTGTGAGCTGCCCTCTATCAGCTCCCCAAGCCTCAGGGCCCTCCATCCCACAGGGATCCTGCACTGCAGCCTCCCAGCATCCCCAGGGACAGGGAGGGAGCACAGGCAGCTCCCAGAGACTCCAGGGAGGCACAGGGCGATGCCAGCAGTGTTGGACAGCAGGTCTTGGCTGCCCTACACCTCAAAACCCACCTGGGCTGGATGCAGAGACAGACCCCCAGCCAAACCTCCCTGGAACGCCAGGTCCAGGGCCGAGCTGCATCTGGGGCAGATGGTTAATGTTTAGTGCAGCAGGAGCAGGGCCCTGGCATGGGGCTGCAGAAGGAAATGTGGGGCAGCACTGGGGGTTCCGCAGTGCCCAGCGGGGTCTCCTGTTCAAACCTGAGCTCCCCAGCAAGCTGTGAGGAGCATGGAGCTGGCGGGGGGGGGTCCCTGGAGGGGCCGGGCGCACTGCCCAGGGCCTGGGCAGCAGGGTGGCAGATGGCTGGGGAGCTGGGGACCAGGGAGCAGGGAAGGACCAGGGACGCCTTTCAGAACACACGACTGTAGCATCCTTGTTTAAAGATATAAATAACTGGGCTGAAAACAGAGACGTGGCCACAGCCATGTCCTTCTTCTCCCCAGGGGGCAGCGGTCCCTCCGGAGCTGATTGAGGAGCAGATACAGCTCGTGAAGCCCCAGCAAAGCCACGGTCTGCATGGGATGCACGGGGGCGTGCTGGGCCCCCACCCTTGCCAGGGTGACTGGCAGTCCCAGGGCCAGACGGCAGCACAGAGTCCTGCCGGGTGTGACCCAGCCACGAGGAGGAGAGGGGATAAAGGCCCTTTCATGGCCCGCTAGGAAAAGGATTCAGCAGGAGAAGCGCAAAAGGACGTGCCCATGCTCAGGACTGAGGCTGCCATGTCCCCCAGCACCAGGGTCCCCAAGTTCCTGCAGCGGTGTGATGCAGAAGGCAGCTGCCTGAACCAGGGGGAAGCTGGGGAGTGCTGGGTGCTGGGGTCCTGGCAGACACCCCCAGGTCCCTGTTGGCATCACCCAGCCTTGCGTTTGGGTGAGATGAGCCTGGCACCATTTCAGGCCAGGCAGCACTGGCATGGTGGCCCCCTCCATGGTTGGGAAAGCCCTGGGGCGGCTGCCCCTCTCCCTCCCCTCCTAGCTGGCTGACAATTGGCTGCCTGAGGGACGCCGGCCTTGATCCGCATCGCTGGCCGTCCCCACGGCCGAACAAACAGAGAGGAAAACAGCCCCAGCCGGCCCCTGCCACCCCCGGAACGAGGCCAGGCACTCGGCATCCCCCAGCACTCCCGTCCCCAGGACCCCCACCACCTAGTAGAGCTGGCAGCACTGCCCTGCCCGGTGCTGCCACAGGGGGTTAACGGTACCAATCCACCTGCCCCACAGCCAAGAAAGAGCCTGGGGGCTGCGGTGGCTGAGCCCGGAGCTGGGAGGAGAGAGCAGGAGCCAGCGTAAGCACCCACCACGCCTGGCAGAGGGGCTGTGCTGAGGCAGCCAGCGTGGTGGGGCAAGTGCTGAGGCACAACCGGGGAGGCCCCGTGACCACTGGCCCTGGGTGCAGGGCCGTCCCTCCTTGCCCAGTCCAGGGGTCGTCTCGCCCAGTTCAGCACTGTTTGTTGTGAGGCTGGGCCCATCCCCAGGGGCTGTGGGCCAGCCAGGGCCAGCTGGGCAGTGCCCCCGCCCTGCCCATCCACCTCATGTGCTCCCCCCGCAGCTCGATTCCCTGAAACCCTTCGTCATTGACACAGCACGGTGCTTCATGAAAATCCCCCCCAGCCCCCTCCTCGGAGGGGCACCCCACTTTGCAGGAGGCTGGGGCGACACCAGAGGCTGGGTCCAGTTCTACTTCTCCCAGTGCACCCCACGCTGCCCAAAGCCCCCCACTGCCTGCTCCTCTGGGACTCCCACCCTGCCTGCGAGGTGACAGGTGCCACCTCTGGGACCCCCACCCAGGTGAGAGATGCCAACACCCAGGTGAGAGATCACCAACACCAGGCTCAGCTGGCCACCAGGACCGCCTAGGTGGCCAGGATGGCCACGGGGGATGCCACCACCAGCAGCAGTGCTCATGGTTGCACTGTGGCCAATGTGGGGATGGGGACATGGGATTCCAGCCACCCTCCTGGCACCGCAGCTCCGGCTTGTCCTCGGGGAGGGCAGGGCATGGCTGCCAGGGCACAGAGCTGCTCCAGCTCTGCCGGCTCTGCCGAGAGCGCTGCCCGTCCCCGTCCTGCCGCCGGCAAGGTGAGCGTGGTGCCATGGCTGCAGCTGGCCATCGCCGACCTCCCCGCCACCGGCCAGCCGCTCCC